TGGTCTGGTACGGGTGGTAGTACGAGGAGATGAATGTACAGCGGTGGGAGATTCGGTTCGTTCGCATGGTCAAATATATTCCCATATTCAAGTCCCATATTAGCCATTATCTCACAGATAGATTAGCTACATGTTATGCGTGTATCCTGCCTACGACTGATGTGAAAATAAAATACGGATTGTTTTTTCTGTACGAGAAAATCCATGAGCTTGCTAATGTGCGTCGTTTTAGCGAGTGACGTCGTTCACGTGGGGTTCGACGTATCATTACTTTGTAATAACAAAGCTTGCAATATGCCAAACGTTCAGTATAAGACGAGGCGACACGGTATCTAACGTGAGTGGGTACATATGACGTCAATGGACCAATCAGTTGCATCGTTGCTCATTCATATTGTTGTAACTTAAATAAAAATGCTTACCTAGAACTTATTCTTTTCCTGTAACCGAAAACGCACAAAGCGCCAATTAGATCCTGGGGTATTTTCTGAGACGCAGTATCAAAAATGAACTATATGCCCCGCTCGGCAGGACAGCTTTCTGAACAGTTATCTTTATATGTTTTTTTATGAAAGATACATAGACGTTTTAGCCATATTGATATCCACTAAGCCTAGATAAAAAGTAATCGATATGTTGGTTCATTTTGTTAATGCGGTCCTCTATTTAAAAGATGTATCGGGCACGATTAGACTAGCCATTATTGATCTATACTATTGGTCTTCTTATATATAAAAAGCACGATACCTTTTCTGAGCTGAATAGGAACAAATTGTTTGAAATATAACAGGCTCAGTAGTATTATTTAAGCTTTCAAAATGTTGTTCATTATGTGGTTATCTGCTCACTATAGGAACAGTATATTCTGTTACGTTAAACCAACAACAATTACAGATTGGCGCTAGTCGACGTCAAAAAATCTTGGTTAAAATATTAGACGTTTGTATGGAACCACAATCAAGTCGACCACTTTGCGTTTTTCACTGAAGTTCGCGTTTTTTTTTGCTCAGTACGATGTTTTTCGCACTTGCATGGTCCAAGTTTTTTTTTTTTTCGATTTTTGTAAAAGGACTATAAATATACAGGCCTTTGTTTTTCGTTTAGCAAAAGTCAGAGGAGTTTTTTTTTTGGCGAGAAAATTGTGCGCTCCACCATTTTCCTTCTTAGTCTATACGAAGTTTGGCTCGATTCCTTCTAATAGAATCCGCAAAGAAAAGCTTACTCAAGCCGATCTTCGTCGCAGTAATCGAATCATTATTGATACGGTAGCAAGAGTCAAACCACTGTCGTATCCACTGGCTGGTAGACGCGCCTGCCTTTGCGCTGGCGATATATATATATATGTATTTAGTGCATGCATGGCCGTCTAAGCATTGCTTTCCTCCCTTATCCCACCGAAGCCCTTAACGGTTAACGTACGTTCACATGTCTATGTTTGTATGCAACGATAATCGTCACCCCGTCCTTTCAGGCTTTACATAACTGGCCGGATCAGCCAATCAGCTTATGGAGTCGACAGTTAACATCGACTGAACAAACTCCTCCGGTCGAAGGAACAACGTACAGCGCCAATGCCGATGCTGGCGCTGACCAACTGCGACGCTATAGGACGCCCCGGGGGTCATGACCTAACAGGAGCAGGTCAACAACAACAACAGCTGCATCGAATTACGTCCCCAGACTCCGCATCTACCACCGCCGTAACCGGAAATATCCGTTAATAAATACTCATGGATTGGGCCTTTAACACAACACAAGCGCACACATTGCACAAACAGATCTAAAATAAAGGGACGCTGTTAGGCCAATAACAGTGAGAGTGAACAGATGGCTGAGGAGAGCTATTAGCTCGACGCCAAAGCCGGCAGTCGTAACTATAGCATCAGCTAAATGTTCCGAAAACTAAACTTGCTATACTATAAAAATATATGGAAAATAAGTGGAAGCAAAGCCTTTGCAAGAATCAGTCACCGAACGCGTCGAAGAGGCGCGACTCAACTTCACATGACAAAGACAGCGGGGCTTTCTACGAAGCAACAAAAAAATTCACATAACTACATTTACAATAAACCTTAGCGCGGTACTGGTTTTAAGACTCTGCAGCTGTAGGAGCATTTGAGGAACATCTGCGTCTCATACCCCTTCAAAGGCAAGATTCGTAGCGATTAAGTTTATTTGTCTTACGTTTAGCTAGTAACAAAGGCGGCATTCATGTTTACTATTGATCTCGTATTCGTATTTCAGTTAAGCTACCTTATTCTACTGAAGTAGTTCCTGGTGACCTGGTTATGGACTGAAGTCTCAAAAAGTAGTTGGTCTTGTATTTGATAGCGTTCATTCGATTAAGGACCTCTTGCTTAAAAATTACGATATTCAATTAATACGTATGTTCTGTCCATTTATGCAGCATTGAAGGTTATCGTAGGATAGCGACTTAAAAAGCTAGTGTTGGTTAACGAAGAAGACATTGCCACCTATCGAATTTTGGGGCAATGAACGCTCTTATGTTAGCTACTTCAAGTGACTCAAATAAAAGGACCTTGAAGATAGTATAACCAAAATGTGATGGCAGCTATCCAATTAGTATAAATTATATGTCTCTCAACAATCATTTTCACTTCCTACCGGGTCTAGCCAATTATTAGAAACACTTCAATCAAAGCGATATCAGGTTCCACATATTAGATTCTTCTCGCGCTACATTCGTCTCTTCGTACACGACTTTCGCCGATGCTTAGTAATAGATGCACTGACTTGGCTTGGCTTGGCAACATTATAGCGCTGGTAAGGGTTGAGGATTTGAAAAAGCCTCCCCTTATAATTCGATAACTACGGGGACGATAATACAGTGTACTGTGTTTATATCTTATTCGTGAGCTTTTCATTACCACGACGTTCATTCGAAAATTCGGTGAAGATGAAGATTCTGCTAACGCTACCAACCAGGAATGTGTTATATACTAGAAGTGAGTCCTCGCACCGTTCATCTGTATTATTAATAACTAACGACGCTCTGGTCCTATTCGTATTTGATGCGGATGATCCTGGTCCAATAAGGCTGACTTGCGTGAAAAAGGGGCCCGCCATTTACAGTCAAAGACATTTCACTTGACATCTATTAATATCTAGTTGTACAACTCTACATGGAGTGAGCAAGTTGGGCTGACAAGCCTGCTTCGACCGTATCTTTCAATTCGGGCAGCAAATGCCACCTTGACCCAAGCCCAGTTAACTTCTTGATGTTGTCATTAAGTTAAGCAATCGGGTATAGCATCGGCACCTGACTTCCAGCAGATGGCAGACTTTGTTTTGTGGATTGGAACGCTGCAGACCGCCTTTTTCTAAGTACTGCGGACACCCGATGACGATGCTTTCCCTAAAATGTCTACAGAGTTGCTCTGTATGTAAGGTGCCGCTCTCATTTTCGAGAATAGCAGTCCGCACCGCGTACACTCTACTTTCCAAATCTAGGAAGGTGGACCTGTGATCTTCAAACGACTTGATACAGCCCCTTGCTTGGCCCTAGCCATTCCATTAGCGGACCTTCCACCAGGACACTTTTCGGATTTTCCACTCGTTCTCCGTTGTTGTCAGATATCTTGCTTTTCCTGATTCGTCGAAGTGTGAGTGGTGCTGTTGTTAGCGGCTGACTGTTGTCGCATAAAACTGATCGGCGACCAAAATGAGAAGCACATATATCTAAAGAGAGAGAAAAACTCGGTCCTGATGTGAGTCTAATTAATTTCGATGAGATCGAGCTTAGTTGAGTGTCGGCTGCTTGGCTCTTGCGAACGCGCTTCTCCCTATGACGCTGGTGTTGTAAAATTGAGTCGCGTCACCGTATTTTTTCAGTGTAATGTAAATGTAAAATACCTCAACAAGGTGGCACCTTTCGATCCACCTGTTTAATGACAAAGCTCACTAACTGATAGTAGAATTTGCAGGGCGTTTTTTGTATTCTGTACGTGTTTTCTTTCTTATTGTTTCATACACGTTGAATATATGCGCTCTCGGAATTCCAAAAGAAAAGCTGTAGCAGAATTGCTCGAGAAACGCTGTAAATTGCCCACTACGAGTGTCTGCGAAAAGGGCTGCCTTCGTTTCCTTTCAGAAGGGGCATCCGTCATTACGAATTTAATAGTGCAAAGAACCTACGTTTCACCATAAGCCAGACACTTGCCTCGTACAGTTAAAGAAGATGTTTGCGTTATCATCGGTAACTAGCACAACGTGTTTATCCAATATTGCCCCAGAAAAAGATCGTCAAAATACTGTAGGCGGCAAATTCTGAAAGTGTCAACTGGCATCTTTGAAAAAGATAAAACATCTAACAATGCTCAGTTTAAGAAAAACATCAATTTCTGTTAGAGTTCGAGGAAACGAATCGAGGAACAATGAGTTTGAATATAATGATATAGGTAAAGCGAACATCTTAATTTTCTCCATTAATAAGCTTGCTCGCATTATTACATACTAGGTACCCGTTTTGAGTTAATTAGGTTTTTCCACGAAAAAAAATATAGATATATTGTTAGCTTTTAAATGTATTCTAATTACTTTGTCACGATTTGTTTTGTATTTTAGCATCCGACAGAATATTTCTTTTGGAAAAAAAATACTATATACTGATAAGTTAGATACAGCTTTTGCACTTCTGCTAGTAAGTTGATGAGTTTTCTAAACTAAATTCTTTAAGGATAAGAACGACGAGAAGTTCCATCTCAGAGCAGAATGCTATCTAGCTTTTTTTCTACCTCTACTATTATTACTCATCGGCCGCATATGTCCACGCACATTAACCCTTTCTCGTTATATACTTTTAATACAGTTTATATATATAGAGTTGCAGGGTCTGCAGACAAAAATATGCACAGGTCTTTTAACGTTTCTATATTCCGCCACTTCTTCTTATGGCATGTGTCGCACAACGGACAGAATGGGTCTCCGTAATAGCGCAGTGGGTAACATGTTTACCTGCTGACCTTACGAATACGTGGCGGTTTGGGTTCGAATCAGGACCTACACACTTCGTATCGTACTGGGAACGAACCGTACCCAACGACTTAAACACTGGATGGCTAGAACCCAAAAAAACCCTTAAAAAAAACTGTCTAGATCAGTCCCTTCCGGTGGCACCAAATGTGTCACATAGAACTGACCTTTTCACACAGGCGGTCACGTTCGGCATAAAATTAAAAGAAAATTAGTGGCCCAGAATCGCCGAAGAAGTCAACGAACACAAGAGCATCCAAGGTAAATAGACTTTCATTGACAAATTTCATGGGTAAAAAAAGTACTTTTTTTTCTTCGTTTTTATTGTGTTTTTCGTCATTGAGACGCAGGAGTCGCCGATGGTAGCTAAGTGCGACACCCGGAAACTGTTTCTTTCGGTCTTTAGGCGCTTTTCCGTGTCAAATGATCGTCGAATGGCGTAGTCCACCCCGATGGTTACGGGAAGCCGGTGTAATATCTAGGTCCCGTGCATCACACTACGTTGGTGTGCTATTCAGGCTTACCGATATTTCACTTCCTGAGAGCAACAGCCTTCGTGACGTCTCCATCCACTTGCTAATGGTTCTCTAAATAAAATAAATACATTTTATTTATACTATAAAAATAGGGGGAAAAGGGAACTTTTCGTCTTTTATCATAACGAATGTATCCCATATTTAGAAGCGTTTATAGCCCATCTAAAGCGCAGAAGTGAATGTTTGTTTCTGAGATAAGCACCTGACGAAAAAGTTGCTCTTCTCCCATGTGTTTTAATAAGCTAATTAATGTTTTAGTAATTCTAAGTAAAATGAGCAGAGCTCATTCCTTATGTCATAACTTGATTTTGTCATGTAAAAAGATACTAGAATGTGAACAGATTGAAGAGTATGATGTGTGTTGCTTTCTAGAAATGCACTGGAAAAAAAATCTATAGTTTTATACAATTGTTTTATTTGGTCAAAGTGCTCTTCTATATTCTTTATTCAGAAGTTTCAAAACGGGACCGCGTATAGGTAGACGATATTACAGCGGTTTGTTATCACCGCGAAACTATGGACCGTTTAATGAACGTGAATGTGTTACTGTCTATTGAAATGCCAGGCATGAAAATGATTTTTATCTATAATACTGTGCGTTTTTATCTATGAGACCCGACGTAACTGAGACCTTCCAGTTTACGGACGAAGCATATTTTTCTCTTTATCATTTAGGCATGAAATAATTCATATGGGTATGTCTAGAAAAGTGTTAAGCCCTGGTGCTAATTAGCAAAAAACTTGGCACACGTCCGTGGTCGGCCTACGAAAATGAATTGCCCCCTTTTACAACTTACAATTAAATATGTACTAACAAGTAAACAATCAACGAACATTATATAAATATTGCGAAAGGTAAAAAACAAATGTCGAGTATGTGTAAAAAAATAGTCGAAATGGCTACACTGCGGCCATATAAAATAGATGCTAGTTTTCATGTATAATGCAAAACTGTAATCTCTTCCAAATCTAATGACCGCGAGAAACTTTAATAAAAAAGCAATGATTTTCCTCTTTGACATTCATCTTGTGATAGCTCTTCAGTCTAATTCTTGCCCCTCTATAATAATAGACCCTCTCTAATAATGTGACTCCCTTGAAGTATAGCAAGTCGTTAAGAAAGATCATTTGTCCTCTATTTGCCAATGATTTGACATTTTGCGAAATTTATATATATATATATAAGCCGTATATCGGATTATCGTTTACTGAATCCTTGAGAACTGTTCTCACCTAACATTAAAGTTAGCCACTCACCTCATGTTAGAAGGGCACGTTACGGTATGTGATACTGAAGGTATAATTAAAGTTTTTTTGATCCGTCACCATTCCCATGTGCCTTTTGCCCCATGGGCACTTGTCTCGATAGCTTCTGTGGGCCTCACACAGTGACCTACAATGTCAAATGTGTAATAAGTGATATTGATAGCGTTTTTAAATTTAGATATTGTATGTAACTGCACTGGGGGATTCACGAACGCTGTAGTAGTTCTTCGACTGCTAGTTTGGGTTCCAAAGGTAATTAACTGTTTGATTTCTATTTCATTTAATACAAATTCACAACATTTCTATTTATTAAATGGAATAAAATGTATATAGATAAGATTGATCGATGAACGGCTTCCGTGCGGGTCTAGACCTATGTATTTCACTCACGTAATTGCAAGTTAGATAAATGCGAGATAACACGACTTGAAAGCAGCTAGTATATTTTATGAAAGTAAAAAAAGTATTGTTTATGACAGTGGCTAATTTCTATCGGTGAAATTTGTACTCCCGTTACCTGTTCGCGGGAATCGAACATCCGTTTATGAGAAGTTCGACGGTCTGAAGGCAGACGTGTTTGCCCGATTCTTTTTGTCAGTACTTCAACTATATCTGAAAACGACTACACAGTACGCGAAAAAATCAAGCAGATCGAACGATGAACGCATGCGGAAATAGTTCTACATATTCTAGCTGTTGTATTTTCCCTTTACCGCTAGCTTTCTACATTTGGTCTGTTTGAAGAAGACTATCTTCAAAAAGAGTGCCTGCAAGAAATACCAGGGAAGACGGTCAAATTGGGGTGACTAATAATTATATAAAAACCAGGAAGACAGAGGATTTACTCTGCCTTTTTTTTTTTTTTAGTAGAAAGTTATTTTTGAGTTTGATGTGTCTGAGAAAATGCAAGTAGGATTCTCGCTGGATTATTTGTTCTAATGGTTAATATGCGTTTGACTTGGCCGCCGTATAGTTCATGCGGGGGTAATCGAACCACAAGAGATCATTAGGAAACAGCACAGATTTCATAGGTTCAGCCCAAAATTGTTGCCAGTTATGTGGAATAAATTTGCCTAAAATTCACAAATGGCTCCTCTGGGTTTCTCTGGCGGTATAGAAGCTTTTCAAAATGTCCGACCAATGAGCCAAGCTTCAGTTCTCGTTATGATGACCCAGAAGTCATTAAAAACTTCTGTTCTTGTTAAACCTTCTAAACAGGTTCAGCAATACACGCATGTATATTACATTGAAAGGCGTTCCTACTCTCGCCTGTTTCTGTTTTACTCAATTTTCAACTGCGTTCAATGGCGTAGATCTATAATGTGAGTTCAGTTTTCTCTCTTTATTGGCACCTTTTTAGGCCAACTGTGTTTTTGTTATTTGAAAAAGATTTTTACTGCCTTGTGACAGGAAGGGGTGCGACTGGTTCTATTTTTCCTGAGGTGAGTCTACCTGCAGGAGCGTGGTAGATTCGCCGCGTTCGAAAGGGTGCCTTATTTACGTCAGACAGACACAGGCTGCTCAAGCTGGATAGCGAATTGTTGTCCAACAGAATGAATAGGTAAATGGTAAAATGTCGTTGGGACGGATATTGCGGCGGACAGCAATGGCCGCAGACAGCGGAAGGCGTTTTACAGCAACGCCAACGACGATACCTGTCACAGCGCCTTTCCGCAGAAGCTACGCCAATGGAGCGGGCCACAAAACAGGAGAGGAACTGGCCACTGCCTTAGACGAACGCGCACACAAATCCACAGCATCCAATGCTCTGGCCCCCAACTCTCAATGGTATGGCTGTGTGCAGCTCCGGTTATGACGCAGCTGCAGAATAACTTTCACGAACAACTCATGATCGAATCGACTGATAGCACGTGTATCGGTGGACACAGGCTCTGTGCATCTGGCGGGAATGACCGGACACACTTAGCCAAAGCTAAATGTTTCATAGTCACACAGCAGGACGGTCGTATCAAGAGCAGTCAAACAAGACGAGGAAACTGGCCGAAGGGGGCCTAGAATAACAACAGCAGCGGCAGCAGGAAGCAACTGCTGCTGCTGCTGCTGCCACTGCAGGAAGGTAATAGAAAACCTTTGCAAGTAACAGGCGGCGAACCCCCCTCCCCTCCCTACCTATACGCTCACAACGATTCATATAAGCAAACATGCACACCCGAGCAGACACACTTAGCTCATTGCCGGTTACGCTGCATCGCAAAAACGACGACGTACCGAGCGAGCAATCGATCCATCCATCCGAAGATCCACCCTTCCAACGGGAGAAGGCTTAGATGATTACCGCTCCGCGGAGGTGGCAGACTGAGGCATTGGGTCAGTGCGAATCCGGTGCGAGACCGCTGGTGTCTATTGAGTATTGATGTCAGTCAGTTCTATCAAGCTACCACCTTACCTGGGGGTCTGTGGAACCGTTGTTGCTAGCAAAGAGTCAATGACTACCAGCTGAATACTGCATTGTGCCATGCGCTAAAGCATTGAGATAATATTGTGTGCATGAAAACGACGTCATGTTCGCTCAGCTCTGCGGAACGCTCATCTGATCAGCGTTGCGTTGGCTATAACAGGAATAAACTGAAGAAGATGTCACTGACATCGATGCACATGATGACGTCTATGCCGGCCCTAATGCTGATTAGCTACGGGGGTTGTGGCAAAAAAATAGTACAGGTAACCATAAAAGAAGGCAAAGAATAACGAAATGCATACTCACGCAAGCAAACCCATCGAGATTTGACGGTGACGTAACGGGACGGCAAAATGTGTCAGCACCAAACGTGAAATCATATATGACACTCGATTAGACCTATTTTCATCGAGCGTACCTTAACATAAATATCTGCCTTCATAGTCTGATCATTCGAATATGATGCAGTTATTCGATCAACAGGGATCTCTGATCAAGCAAATACGTTTATAATAATGAGAATTGTAACTACTTGAAGATGATCACAACTGCCTGGAGCGAGGATGGGGCAAAGCTCAAATAGATGTAATATGGCATAAAGGCGATGTGGCACGATGTAAACGGTAACATTGGACGGTAGGAATCTTCTGGTAGACCTTGTGACTGTACCACTAATACATTTAACGTGCGCCCCGTCTTTCAGCAGTGCTACTACCGCTGCTTTGGCAAACAACTATGCCATGGCAACCATGGTAACGATTGAAATAACGCTAAGAAATATGTGATCGCTTTCCGTGCGATATATTTAAATAAGTCTTTGTTTGTAGAATATCTCAACTGAGGCAGGATATGTAAATGATTAAGAGACGCGTCAAGATGGTACGCTTTTTATTCATGCGATACTTACGTGTCCGTATGTGGTTAAGCACATTATTAGTCTATGGCACAGCTTTTACGTTGCGAGCGGACAATTCATTCGATTTTATTAATTTCCTAGTTGTTATTTAAAGAAAAACAGATTAATGGCTTTATATTTATTTAATGTTTTTTTTTTCTTTCTTTCTTTAAATATCAATGTTCGTTATACTGAATACGCTTCTACCTCAAGGGAGGCTTAGATTTAAAAATATTTTCCATGTGGTCTGTACGACTCATACGCTTTTAGATAGATATAGGTTCTGAAATTTTATGACAAATGTAAATCTATTTAGGTTGTAGAACTAGCCAAAGGATTGATTTGTGCCAATAAGCTTGGTAGCGCTTTAACAGCACCTATCAAAGGCCTTTTTTTGGCGAAAAGCTCCCGTTCACTACCTGGAACCCGAATCCGATTAGAGGAGTAGCGAAAACCGTCCGCTCATACATACCTACCTTAATCCATTATAATTTCTTGCTTGTCATTAAACAAGAAAACATTGAACATTTGGCATTATGTCATTTCCATAATCTATAGACATAAACAAATTTGTCCTCGAAATTGTGAGTGCTGCTTGAAAAAGCCAAAGGCAAGGCCATTTAATAATCTGACGACACGATTATCAACACAAAGGCTAAAACGGTATAAAACATCAAGACTAGGAAACAGTGTTTATATTTAAAGGCCTGATTAGATAGCATCAGACGGTGAGCCGACGGTGATTTCGCGTCTAGTCCTAATTAGAGGCCGCAGCGGTCGCATTCATTGTGTAAGATGTGCTGCTAATGACTACTTTGATCAACCAAACGCACTATGTTATTGAGTCTTGTTTAATTTAGAAATTTCATTAGAACTCTTTGCAAGGCAAAAAGACCTTAATTTGACTATGTTTATTATAACTTGAAGCATTTTTACAGCTTATTATATATGTATGTATATATATATTTCTTAAGTAACCTTACTTCTGTATATATACATAAAAGCGTTTAGTGTTGTCCAACAGAAAATTTTACGTGTATTTTTTGTTACTTCACCCGTAGGTTAGTTAGATGTTCTGATTAACTAGCTTACTTGTGTCCATTTAAAGAATACTGTTTACTAATTATAGACTAGTAGAAAAGAAACCCACTCAACCGATAACAGCTCATTGAAGCCTAAACATGTGGGCCATGTCTATTTTAACTGAAATCATCTCCTTGGCGTATGGCGCTTCATACTGCCCTATATAGTTGACATCCAAGCCTTTAAGTACTGCTACTTAAGGCATTTTAACCGTTTATTTATTAGCTGCACGAAAAATATTACAAAGATGTATATTTTGACTTTAGTACGAGATTTAATTGCATCTCAATTTGTTTTTGTGTACTGTATGATTTTTATTATTTTAAGAGCAATGAAACAATCAGTGGACGAACACATGGATATTCTCGAAGGATTTAGTTATATGTTTAAAGAACACGGCCTGATATCAGGGCCTGAAGTACCAAAATATCTTGTTGTAGATACGGCTCGCTGATTTGCAAGGTTCGAGACTGATGGAAATTTGTATAGACTCGATAGACAGTAATATCTTTAAAAGCAAACGATCCCCAATGGTGTCAGTGTTCGGCGTAAATCGGCCTGCTTCATTGTGATCGGCTTAGCCGAAAACAGCTAACAGAATGATGTATTGGTACCGCGTTTAAGTTTGCAGATACTGATTCATTGATGGACAATGGCTTTATTTATTATAAATGTGGGTCTTATAGCGACTTCCACATAAAGATAGCAATGCTGAGAGCTCTAACTGATTTCCTTCGTTCAAGTATTACATGTCCTTGAATGTATACATTGTATATTGGTAATCTGAAAGTTGACGTCTAAAATCGTGTGCACTGTCTGCGTCCTGTTGAGTGGGAAATTACATTACCCTGCAGAGCAAGCAGCAACATATCTGTAACATGAACTAAAACAGTAGCTCTTCACCTACTTGCCTACGCAAACTTTTTATTGAAGTCATTATATCAAGCCGAAACCCGCGTTTCCTATGTCTACGCACGGATTTTCCCTTCCTCTATCAGGCCATCATCAACCGTTGACGTCTAATAGGCCATTTAATAAATTTGCCTTTTCAATTTAAATTAAGCCTATTCTTAACTATGACTAACAACGGGCGAAAAATCCTCCCAGCCGCAATGCTCGGCTTTTGTTGCTGTTATTCAAAAGCGCAAAGAGAGACATATAATTTCAACTATTCATATTTTCATATCATACTTTTTCCGGCCGGGTGATGCCCCTTCCCTTAGACAGCACTTTTCTCTGATACGCTGGCTCAGCCTCACTTCTTTCAGTTTTTTCCTGAGTCAATAAAGTCCACATGAGCCCCACTCTTCCCTACTGCGATCCAGCTGACGCGCGCGCCAAAGTTCAACCCTTTTGTTATAGTTTGCTGCTATTTCTATCTATGGGTCTGGCGCGTTTGTCTCTTTTTGCTTTCGTCTGATGCGCGTTCTCCTCTTCGCCGTGTCTAATATCGATGCTGCTGTAGCAGCTCTTCCGCTTGCCCTTTGCTCGTCTATACTTGCAGTTGCTGCACAACTGAAATTCCCTCACCGGTGTCTTCGACGATGAGAATCCGCCGCCGTCCATATTCCAACGTTTGCACTTTACGCCGAGACCTGAACGGCAGGAAGGCGCGGTCGGCTGGCTATTTGACATCAACGGCAACGCCAGCAGTAGCCGGAAAGGCGGACGGACACACAGGCGGCGACCTACTCAGCCAGCGGCGATGACGGTGGCAGCACCAGCGGCAATAACGGAAATCACAACGTAATTTTCGTGATATTTTACGGGTTTTTAGCAGTGAAAGCGAAAACCAAAGTTGGGTGGACGGTCTGTGGAGTGGACCGTGGCTGTTGTTGATGCCGCTGCCGTTACTAATACGTAGACGACGCAAAGTAGACATCATCTGCAATGAAGGCAATACTCCGGCCACATTAACACTGTGAGTGGCTACACAGATACTACGACAACGAACAGCTGGCACGTTCTTATAGCGTTTACGCTGTTGTCATTGCTACTGTTGACTTCATAGACACAACAAGGGGGTATATATTTCACGTTTTTTTTTTTCAAACACGACCACTTTCGATTATATTGCTGTGCTTTTCTACTCTCCTAACTTCCTGACTGAACTTATGGCTACAATCAAAAGAGGAGAACGAATTCGCATTATTAGGATTCCCAGGATCACAGTTACGTTCGTATCTTCTAGCAAGTTTATTTAAGCTTTTGTTTGCACGTCTATGAAAATGCATAGGTAGACTTATAGTTGGGTAAAGCTTATGTTACATATATACAGTTCTACATGTTGAGTACTCTCTCACCATACACATTCTGCGTGATGAAAAAACGTAGGGACACAGTTGTTGTGAAAAGGAGATAAATAAACCATTGAAATAGGTAGTATAGATCATTAATCTATCTACTGTTCTTTGCTATTCTGAATTTTTCCAATATTTAATTTCCGCTTCATTTTAGGCATTTGCTAGGGTATATATATACATATATATATATATATATAATGGAGCAGCAACTTCGGACAAGATACGATTCGCGTTCCATTCATGTATCTGTCCAAAACGCCTTTTCCAGAAAATGTCACATTTCTATTTCGCAGAATCTCGAAGGGGCAAAAAATAAGTGATACAAATATAAGCGTGCATTGTCCTTAATAGGTGAGCAAAAATTGGCCCAAAGTTTACGGTCCCCCAGGTTCAGGTAATATGTTGGGCTGGACCAGGTAACCTGTTTACTAATTTATAGGGCAGGATTTTAGAATTTGGTGGATTGGATTACGGGAAGACCTGTAACCCTCAGCGCGATGCTACCCGGTACCCTTCTCCAATGCAGAGATTGCAGGTTTAACGATGACGAGCTTTAAATGATTGAGAACGGAGATTCCCATCATCGATTTCAGACGAGCGTGCCGTTGAAAACAAGCCCAAACAAATATTCCATTGAAACTTCCGTGACAAACTTGAACGGTGAATGAATACCACTAACGAATACCCCAATAGCCAACGTGGAATTTCGTTCGTTCCTGCTAGACAGAAGCTGGACATTTCCAATGTATGGTCATCGAATACATGACCATATAAAGACGAACAATAGCCGTCTCTAGCCAAAGGTTGCCTGGAAACACATGGCAAACATTGAAAGTCCTTGATTTCAACGTTTGGCTCAGCGTCATCGAAATCACTTGTACAAAACGTAACTATCGGAATCCATCCAGACCTTGGCTGCATTTCCCCGGCCTCACGAAACAATAAAGTACGATCTAAACTATTGTATAACAAATACGAGTTCTACCATGAAGCCGCACGAAGGCAACGAAGCTAGTCTTAATGGTGACAACCGTTCTTGTGCGACACAATTTTGCTGTTGCGGCCTCCTGCTTATTTTGGCCATTTATTATTTTCTGGCAATTGTGACAACAATTATAGTAATAGCAGGAAAAATATAGCGGATATAGTCTGCGTATTAGAGGCAGTCTTCCATCCAGCGCTGTACCCGCTTTATCCCTGTGTCCCCTGAACCTGATCTCTGTCAATTGTTGTTAGCAATCGTGGCTCTGATTTGACACATGCAGGGTTGTTATTATTACCGTTGAAGCGCTCCGACGCAACGTACGAGCCGCCTGAGCAGCAGGCATTGTTATCGTCGAAGTTATCCACGAAAGCGCCAGACTGGCTAGCTGTTCTTGTGGGTCTAGGAAATGCTGATGCAGGTTAAAGGTAAAATGTAGTCGGGATTCCGCCAGGAGGGTTTCGGCAGCGTAGCTAACGCTCTAAACGATGCCGCTGCCGATGACGACTTCTGTCGCTGAGTGGTGGGTCGCCATTCGGGTCGCGGTTCGTTCTGCTCTCACAATGACACCTTCTGCCCCAACAGCATCCGTTCAATTTCACAACGGTAAAGTTGTGATCGCTACCAGCATCGTAGACATCATCGTAGTAATACTGTAGCAGCGGATCTGGCATTAACGCATGGCGCTATAACGTATATATTACACTATAAAATTACAACAGCTAGTACGGACGGCATCCGCTGTTAGATTGTTTCCCTTCCCCGTCGACCCCCTATTCTTCCCGTTCAGCTTCCCTCATCTATCTGTTTTGTAAAAAGCAGATGGCACCTCAACTACTGTAACGGGGGTGCTCTACGACCTGCTGCTGTTACAGCTAGTCGTATTGCTGTGTCTAATGAGGGAGCCGGGATAGATTCTCACCAGCCGCCACCGCCCCTGCACTAACTGTAGCAGAAGCAAACGTGCAACGGAGTGCAGGCACGCAAGAGAGCAGGCACGCAAGAGAGCAGGCACGCAAGAGAACAGGAGATGAAACAACACTGTTCACACGAAATCGTGATTAAAACGGTACATTGAGACAGATGCACCGATCTTCAAATTGTCGGAAGGGGTTCGACATGTGAGCGACAAAAATGGCAAGCGGCGACAGTTATTTGTGGCCACAATCCAACAATAACGGGCGTTACCACTGGGACCTGCAGACAGTTTCGAAAAAAAAGTAATGCTCACGTCGGGCACACTGGCGCCAAGTCTAAAACATTCGCGTTGTTTCGATGTTACCAGTAGACCATGTTTGACGTCTGTCCACCTGACATCCTGATCGCTTTATTTATCCGGTTGTTCGTCAGAAGCGCCGTCACTCAGCAAAGTTAGCTCTGAACGAGTTCTGCATAGGGCGCAAGCTTGGAATGGCTGATAGGGCCATATTCCATCCATTGAGACATGCCAGACCACATGTCAACGGCTGTCATCCGGAATCGAATAGACAATGAACTCGCACAGCACATAATGGACGAATGTGGATATTCCAAGCTCGTCATCGTTTTCATTGGACTTCAATGTAAATGATAATGGCAGTGTCGAGTGAAGGGCGTAGGTCATGACTCAAAATACAAATGCATGACCATTGTAGGTCGTAACAGATGACGACGAGTGATTACATGGTCAATGGTAGTTTCGTTCTACTGAACTACTTTTAGATACTGCCGACCACCGGTTGACCAGTCGAAGTAGTCGTTATAATAGACGTTGTTTTTTATATCTACGCCTGAATCCTTGATATGAGAGCGCTTAAAAATAACTGATTTAGTTAGTTATACAAATTCAGATCAGTGGTTGAATGGACACTTCATGAACAGTGAATTTAACCGTGCTCTTCACGTAGGCCGATCAAAAGCCCTCTTCCATAAACTCGCCGGCGGAAGCTGTTTTTAAAAATGAGACCAATATCTATACGACCGCACTTGATATTATTATCTTGATTGCCCCCTTGTTCTAATTGGCCCGCACAAATATAGAGCTCATACAGAAGTGTCTGCGGTAAAAATCTCTATTGAAGAACGGCTATATGGCGCATCTAGATAAATATTTTGTCCGTAAGAAAATATGCTTATACACAACGGAAAATACCTTTCCTATTTATAGATTTTGATGCCTATGGAAGAGAACTGTCTTGAGATGTTATGGAATCAACGCTGTCACTTTTTTGCTCAAAGGGAGTTTATAATAACAGTGCCCCGTAGGAAAATTTAAGCAATGTGGTACTTACACGTTTTTGTATCCGCCGACCAATGTAAAAATGAAATACACTCCACATATGTTTTGTTTTATTTGATTTAATAACAAGAAAGCGCTGCTTATGTATCAGCTTCGCCTGAACCTGAATAGGATTTTGATAATACCACAACATGATACGTACTGACTGTTATGAACCGTTGTTTATATAGTGGTTAATTACACTATCAATTTGCCGAATTACGGGTCAACAAGCATGCAAGTTGTCGACCCACTGTAGAAGGTGATTTCAATAGGGATGTGCTTATAGTACCGGTATATTTATAAACCGGAGCATAACTTATAAATTTTTCCTTCATAAAATGTATTATTAATTTTTCAATCAGTAAAAAATAATTATATTCGTATGTGGGTGCGTCTCTGTAAATGTGTGTTTCTGTATGTATGTGTGTATGCATTGAGAATATGTGTAGCGGAACACATTTCTTTTGCTTGCCTATATCATCTATAGATAGATTTACTGTAGAAGTGGCCATGTGTTTTGACACCGTTGCACTCGATGTTTTTTTTGCATGACTCACTCAGACGTCAAAACTTCTCTTCCTACTAAACCGGATTTCGTAACGGTCGTTCCCCAGGGAGAATAATGCTGCGAACTACAAAAGCTGTATGACGTTGTTTTTTGCTGATTGCAGTTTTACACGTGGATCACTCGTACTGGAGAAGCTGTGTGTCCTGGTCCTGCACATGATAATTCTGTAGACACCGGTGGCAGCTTGTGCGCAGCATTGAGAAAACCTTTGCCTCATCCCGTTCTAAGCGGCCGCCTCAACGTAATTAGCCGGAAGCATTCCCCTCTGTCCGTTGCGTAACACGGTCCCAATCATCCAGCCACCTTCTATAGGTTCTCCGTTGACGATGACGTCGCCCTCGCAGAAGGTCACTTCATCGATGTCTCCTGCCATGTAATCGTATAACGCCACGAAACAACGGCCTGGAACGACAACACAATCATCATCATCATCATCATCATCATCATCCTTGTCATGATCAAAGCGACCCCGTAAAACCGATGAAAGCAATCAGATACATTTAATGAATTGCCAGTTCGTTCAGTTGATCTATACTGTACGGGAGGAGACGTTATTCTACGAAGAATGTATGAAGAAGCGTCCGATAAGGTACCAGTTGTAGTACTAAGGGCTTGCTGCGTTTAGGGAACGACAGCGCTGCAGAGGGAACCGTTCGTTCATGCAGTATGTTCAAGACTTTAGTTTTGGTTGTGATTGGGTGATGGGTTTTCATGCAGGGACGGCATAATATGGCGAGTCATGATGCTGTTGCTCGACACGATCAACGCTAAGTAATCCACGTTAGCCTGCCACGTTCTTAGGTTTTTCAAGTGACCCGTCTAGGTGTCAGCTGAAGTCACCGTTTAGTAAGCATTTTTGCGCCTTTGCGCCGTGATAACGGGGAGGATGTGCCTCCACGAAAGTATCTTGCATAGTATTCGCTACTTGAGCCAATGAGAGGCTGCGAAGAGGCTCTGGACCCACCGTGTTGAGGTGACGGCCGGAACTTCCTGGCGGCTATCGATTGCTGAGGGCTGGATAAGGTTGGCTGTGAGTAGACCTGCTGATGTTGGTGCTGTTGCTGCTGCTGCTGCTGCCGGTGAAGGTTAGTCGTGTACGCGTTCTGGTATCGGGACTGCTGCTGTTGCTGCTGCTGCTGCTGCTGCTGGGGCTGTCGCTTGACGCCTTGAAACTTTTGTTGTTGCTGTTGAAACTGGGGGGCATTCGCTTGCTGTTGATGAGAATTGACCTGTCCTGGAGCTGAAGGCTGTCTGGACTCCTGGGATAGGTTTTGCTGGGGTACAGGCTGCGTGACTTTCTTCGGTTGGTCCAATTGGCTAGGCTGCTGCGAACTGCCAAATCCGAAAGATTGTGATGGAGCGTTCTGTTTGAGAGCATTCAATGCAGCCGCAAATTGGCTTTGTCCAGGATAGGGCATTCGGCCATCTTCGAAGGGAAGCTGAGGACTTTGCGGCTCACCCCCACTCTGGGACATCTGTGATTGAAGTGGAGCTCGTGCCTCCTGGTAGGAGTTCTGCTGCGAGTAGGCTGATTGGCTGTTGTAAGTTAAAACGGGTGACGGGGGTCGATGCGACGCCTGATTGTAGCTATTCAGGTTATAGTTGCTGGACGGAGCTTTGCACGACTTTGTGCGACGAAGAGAACCCATAGGACTGTATATTTCGTAGTCACCAAGCGATGCTGAAATACATTAAAAGTCGCTACAACTTCGCTTAGGTCAATCGACATATATTTCACTTGGAAACTTAACGAGGAAAACAGGTTTAATGGTTAAACCTATGTTCGTTTTATGCTACTATTTATTGACTAGTAAAATATGTCTTCTTAATGAGACGCTATCCTAAACAGAATTATGCTGTATCTTCTCTATAATATAAGGCCAATAAACTTCCCTACAGTTTTGAACTTGAACGAAAATTACCTGCGTTAAACTTAGGTCCAAACGAAATTACGCTATCGTCCACCTGATACTTGGGAATTGATAAATTGGATGAGCCATAAAGTTCATAAAGTTTAGGGTGGAGCCCAGATCCTTTGTTCCCAACAGGCTCGTAGAAGTTGTCTAAGCCAGGGACGTCCAATCTGCAACAGACAACAAATATCTCTGCTATTTAGTTCCGAGGCATTAAGCTGGAATAAAAGGAGAAATAAATGCTAAAGCGTGTTACCATCTACATCATAGTATAAAACAAACTTTATACGCACTGAATAAATTATTTCAGCAGTACTTTCGCTGCTTGCGGCGATCATGTTGTCCTATATTACTCGAATAACTCTGGCTAGAGTGGTAAAAGATCTGGGTTACTTTCTGAAAGGGTTCAACGGCCTAGTAAGCTATAAATATATATATGTCTGCAGGGACAACGAGGGCCTTAGGGCGGGACAAGAATCAGGCCAGCTGATCAGTCGGAAACTCACACAGAATACACCAACTAGACCCGCTTGGCGAAGGTAAATTCGACGAGCTTGATGCTCGGTAAAGGCGAGTTCAGAGCTAGCGATCGAATCACGCGACGACCAGAGAAGGTCTTAGGTTTCACTCGGATGCTTGAATATGATATTGAGCCTACTTAGTCGGGGAGTGCCTAGACGCTAGTTAGGTAACACGGTCAATCACTTTAAGATAAAACAGAAAGGAGCAACGGCAAAAGTGAATGCTAGAGTAATCATGAGCGTTACAGACAATTCGACAGACAGTTTCTTCTTTGTCTTAGTTTTTAGGTCTGTCTAGAATTGACCCAAATATCGCTAGTTCGTTAATGCTTACGTTACATTTTTCGTACGGCAATGTATAATACGTCGTATGCGCCCGTAATGGGCCTACAGGCCTCTGCTACCGATAGATAACCACTTTATTATGAGTGGAATCGCTTGTTGTTCCTATATATGACTTGTCGATTGTGAATCAATTCGATTAGGTTCTAAAATGGTTTAAATCTTTATAATCGCGTCGTCAGGGTAATTTTTTTGGTGAAGTTTTCTTTAGGAAAGGACATAAAACAGTTATATTTCAGTCAACCCTTTAATGCGCCAATGAAAGAGCGCACGCATACTCGCTATCTCCGTTGAGTAGTGGTTTCTTCGGATCTGTTTTTCTCGCATCTCCTTGATAAGCCACATCGCTGAGGATTTTTGCTTGCTGGCTCAACCGAAGGATCTCCGGATCATCGGCTACCTGCAACACACGTAGTCGATACACATACTCGAATTATCTCGATACCTACCATTATGGTTTCATAAGTGTTCGATAAAGAGTAACAGTTTAACGAAAATTCTTTGACGAAAACGTCAATCCCATTGTAGAAGAGTACATTTGTAGATTAAGAGAGGTTCGCGCTTCCCTAGACGAAGCTTCTGCTAATGATAAAATGGGAAAAAAAAGTCCGATTGATATAGAGTAAGACACCGCTGATCTGGTCCAGTGTCTTGCAGAACGAAACAAAGCAGAGCAAATTTACTTACCCGAAAGGTGATTCTGACCAGAAAAGGGACAAAAACACATAACTGAGTTCATAGAAACTTTCAAAGAAGAAACCCACTTGTGCGGAACGAATGACGAGCATCTTTGAGGGGATGAGGAACGAGTAGTATATGACGCGACAGGTTTTCGATTGAACGTATTGTAATGCGTCTCGAAAATGTAGTTCTATTCGTTTCATACGACGCATGTCCAGAAAGACACCAAAAGCCAGCCGATTTTACGTTTTTAGTAAGGAAGTAATCCACAGTGAAAATAACAAAATCACAACACCTAATCCCTAGAGTAGATTTCTACTGTAGTACTGCTATTATCCAGCTAGACTTATTTGCTGCAAGGTACTACGACGTGTTTCCATTTAGAAAGTAGAGAGCCTACCCTAACTCGGTCCTACTGGCAAAGCTTAGGTCGATGCCTTCCAACGCTATTGCCAGTCTCCTGCTCATTTATGTAATTTCAGCCTTTTCACGCTCCGACATTCACGTAAGCTATCCGCATTCGTCTTATGTTTACCACTATTCCTGCTACATAAGGAAATTCAAAATTTCAATTTATGGTCATGCGTAATAAACTAATTATTTCAAAGGAATCCCCAGCAGTGCTCGCTGTGGATATCCTCAGTTAACAGAACAAGGCTCTATTTACCGCATCTCTAGTTTCTGATCTAACAGAATCTGTAATTATTATTAAACAATATAACACAATGGATGATTTTAGGATTACTATGACCGTGTCGTCTTTGTTTGCAGAGGTGATTTTACGATAGAAATAAATTAAACTTATAACGCACTTGTGTGACGCGTCCTTTTGACTTCTCGTATTCCTCATGGTACTTGACGTTCGACTGAAATTTGGTGTTCTCGGCTAGACGTCGTGCCTCGGGGGTATCGAGTACAGTTGTGTAAGTCGCATGAGGGACATGCCTGTCGTTTTATTTGTTTTGAAAACGATATCAAGATAAAGCCATTATTACCATCTATGCTATGCATAGCTATGGTTCGAATTTAACTCATTAAATGTTAACTTTAAATGTCATTAAACGAGCGACTTAGATTTTCACACAATTATTTTCAAGTGAAATTTGTTTGTTATTTCAGATGTAACAAATAAATCTAAGTTATCTAACTCGAAGCATAAGTTACACACTTATCATTAAAGATTTGTTTAAATGCACCTGTCAGCAGAGCATATAAGATATTTCTAGCTTTTAGAGTTGGCGCCTGCCTAAATTGCGTAATGGCTCATGCAAATGCAGTTACCATAACAATTGTGGTTTTAGCTAACCCGCTTATCGTTAACCGTTCGAATTCAGTCTGTAAATTTTTCACCTTACGCACTGCGGGGCAAGTCCGAGTATGACTTACGCGTTACAGTAGGGCAATCGATTGAAGCCTTTGTAGGTGTTCATACTGAGCGTCATTCCGCATTCTTGACATTTGAAACACTGCTTGTGCCATACCTTGAGCAGGGAAACAGAGGTGGAAAAAAGAACTAAGTAAAAATTATCTTTTGTCAGTCGTAGCTGAGATGTCTACGGGGGTGAAACCAAAGCCCGATACCTGACAGATTTTGTGTGGATCATCTTTAACGTACGAGCCGCCAACCAACGCGTTTAAAGCAGCACCATTTTATTATAACAAAAGTTAGAGAAATGAGGATGTAGAAAGTACACATAATGAAACAAACTGTGCGAGCGCCATATATGGACCATATAAGCGCTCTACAATTATGAATTTTTGTCAAATGGGGCTCACAATGAAGATCACAGTTCACTTCAAAAATCTTGTTTTACCACAAAGGCCTATTATTTTAATTTGTGGTAAGATACAGATACTTCGTTTTGACGATTGATGAGATGATCGTGGATATTCTCCGCAGCCTCTTATTCGTTTAAGACAGAAACCTCTCAATACTTTCTGCTGAAGGAGTATTGCTCGAGGTGTAGTACTTGGACCATCCAGCTGGAGATTATAATAGTTGAGGGAGGCTAAAATAACTAACCTTATCGAGGCATTTAAGTTCCTCGATGGGGTAAACCGTCGTCAGACAGCGGGCGCACTTCTTGTTCACCATGTTGAGTTCGTACTTTTTTTTGCCGTTGTCAATTTATCCCGTGAAGTTGAAGGCGAACCAAACGTGCACTTCTGTCGGTACTCCTTTGGGCATACTACAACAGCACCACCCTTTCAGGCCAAATTTAGGCCCTGATGATTCAACAGAGTTGCACAGAGCTGGCCTTAGCTGAACACACACGGCTTTCACAGAGAGCGAGTTACAGCAGCAGCAGCAGCAGCAAGAGACGCAGGCTGTGCGACCACCAAGCGCCTGCCAAGCAGTAGAGGGCAGACAGTCTTCCGGTAGGTTCGCCGCCGCCCGCCGCCGCCTACCGTTGCCTCGGGGCCTGGTTGGTGCTGGCTACCAACAACCACTGACTAATACTTCCTTATCCGTCCAGCAAAAGGGAAGGAAAAGTGCTCGCTACGGCTGAAACCATTCTTTTTTCGCCCGTCTAACGCTGATCGGTGGCTAGCCGCTTTCAAGCACCCGCGCCACAATGAACGCCCTGCGCCCGCCACAGCCCAGGGACCCGTTGTCGTAATCTACCAGTGGCAGTAGAACCGGCCGTCGTGGTAGTCGTAAAACTAGCCAGTGTTCCACAACACGACAGCCGAAGATCGCCTAACTGGAAGGCTGAGAGGGAGGACGGTCGGCAGGCCAGCAGTATTAGTCTGATTCCTTTGCGAGTTTGCTTTAAATACTACTGGACCCACCCCAACGGCGACGGTCGCTTGAACCTTGCCAGTCCTAACGGTCTCTCAAAATAAGAGATGCGATGCCACCCATGTCGACCACCGATAGTAGATCCCTACCGGTTCGTTTTCCTTTCGTCTTCTTTGCCTGCAGAGCCGCCAATAGCAGCTGGAAACATGATAGAAGCATGGGGTGGGGCAGGACAAAACAGGACGGAATAGCAGCAAAGCGATCTGCCAGCAAGCCGGCGACGGGTGTTCTAGCTCTGTGTATGTATGTATGATACGGAGAACGAGTTGATTACGCAAAACTCAAAAAGAAAGATCACGAAACTTGGGTTTGACTCTGCTAACGGCTCTAGCCGAAGCCAATCAGTACCACGATATGGTGAGCGAGCAAAGAAGATGCAAGGGGGAAGATTTGGGAGTTTGGATAGAATGAAGCGAGATGAGTAGTGGGAAGGACGAGATTCTGGTCGGAAAGAACGGCAGAACATCTACAGACTAGCCAACAATGTATTTATCGAGTGTTAGAAGGTACACACAAGAGCCAGTACATCGACAGTTATTTCGTTCATTTTCTCTTAGACGCTTTACGATAGTATTAATAACACTGATAGCTCCGGATCATTGATGTTTTGCAGATAACAGATCTAAATGGCCGTAGGTATCGAGACGAGAAATCAACAAACTACGATAGGCCAAAAAAAAAATAAGTCAGCTACCTCAATGTTTGGTTTGTGACCTATTCTATTCGACGGCCAGGTACCGGCGACCAGGGGACAAGGAGTACGTGTAGGGCGTATCCTTGCAGTTGTTTACAATATCCGACAACTAATCTGCTTGTGCAACTAATAGTTGAGCTAAGCACTCGCAAATCCTTTTTGACGTACTGCTCATCAATGAATGGCACAAATACGTTATCATCAAAAAGAAAAAACAATATTTTATTGTGAAATTGCAACATTACATTGCTTGATGATGACACTTAAGATATTCTTCGGCAATATCTAACGTTTATTTCTCTCCAGACGGGTGCCGTACAAACAACGATCAGAGCTTACTAGCATTTTATAAGTATGACGTAATATTGTATAATTGAAACTATTCAGTTCCAATGTAACATATATCAACAATTATGTGTACGTACTCATATGACAAGATTGTAAGATCTAGATACTAGGACCAGATTGACCTAGCATATGCCTAGTATTGCATATATCTATTTTACTCTTCTTGGTGTATAGGAGCAACAATTATATTGCTTGAGACGAGCAACCTTAGGTAGGTAAATCTGCGGGCATAGGCGACAGTGGCTTCTAGAGCCATTTAGTTCGAGTTGACAGCCGCTGTCTTATGAATTACACTGCCAGTGTTTTCATCAAGCGCACCGATAACCCGAGCCCACAGGACATTCATCTGTACTCCTATCAGGCCTTTTATCACCTGAGCACGATTGATCACATGAATCGGGAAGTTATCGGCATAAAGAAGAACCTAGCTCAGATTTTCGGACGCTTAGAATGTACTCGACAGCTCTTCCATGGAAGTTTTCTTCTTGTGCCAATCCCTTCATTTATCAGTGCAATGATGGTTTTAATACCATATTAGCCATCAATATGCTATTCTCTTAGTTTTAGTATTGTTCTCAGAAGGCGGATTTGCGTTTCCGACTGCGTTGGAGTTTCCGATTTTGAAAGAGCGATTAGAGTCTAGCTCTTGCTCTAGAATCGAAGGCAGCTTCAAAAGTTGCAAACAAAACAAACGTAGCCCTCATGGACAAGTCCTGATCAATGCCACTTAACAAACTCTTGCGTTTTGTTGCTGTAGACTCATCTGTCCTATGCCCACGCTACTCTCTTGGTATGGCGTTTTTTTAGCTGATATTGTTATTAACGAAAAACGTCGAGACATATACACTTCCAGCTGATACATTTTGTAGCCCTACACGAATAGTTACATTATAAAAAAGCTTTGTATTGGCGAAGGAAAACTGCAAGTTGGGTGCACACCAATTTAAATGGCCATCCTTACTATGTGAAAAGTGCCTGATAAAACACTGCTATGTCGATTGATTTATTGTTCCAAAAGCAATTAACTACGCCGAACGAAATTATTTGGGTAATTCTCTCAAAGGTCGAATTCATAATATGCCCAACGTACGAAAAATCCCACTTTTGATTGAGCGATATCACGTAAGATGGTGTTTCCGTTCGTGCTGGAAACAGCCGTTTAGATCAATGTTTAACACCCGTAATGGAAACAAGACCTGATACACTTGTTCTATTCGCATGTCCAAATCCTTTCTGCTTTCAGCACTTTGAAAATATAGTTCTGTTTATGACTATCAGCGGCCATTGCGATCAGCCGGTGACGTTTCATGGCCGCATCTCGGCCTAACCATCGATAGAAAAACCCACATGTCGCTGCGACTGCTCTTAACAATTGACTGCTTGACAATACCATTGTTACGCTACTGTTAATATATTTTCTCTGGTCGGTCTCGGTCTGGTCGGTTGAAGCATATATCTCGGACCCATATGGTTTAAATTTCAGCATAGGCCAACAAGTACTATGATCTGTCGTTTCATGGCTCCTTTAGAGAATTACTCACATAAGTACAGACCAAAAAGCCGACCATAGGTTGACGTTCGCCTGTCCTTCGCGAGTGTAGGCTGTAAACTGAAGTTGAAGACTCTCTTAGTTAACCCCGTAGTAATAGCTCGCCGTTCAGATCATGCATGTCAACAGAATGAACGTCAGAAATCAGTCACGAGTTAAAAATAAAATGCCTATTTTGTGTCGTCGCCTCTATCTGGTGATGACTATTCGCGCAGTAGGCTTACAACGCTACGTGGGTAATAACATAATTGACGAGTATCACGGAAATGACGTTTGCCACTCATAATCAAACTGTATATTATGAAATTCATTGTCACGAATTTCGGGTTAGATCTATATACTGAACGTATCCTACTTGTATCAGCGAAACCTCTGAAAGAGTACGGGAAACATTCGTGCGTTCTAATACTTTCTTTTTGAATGTACCGGATCTGTGACGCTCAATCAACGAAATCAGCTTTTTGGGTAAATGTTTAGACAACTGTGACTATCACGAGATGGGGTTTGATTGGACAGTCATCTTAAGGACGGCGATAGCCGTTTATTTGGCAGCACATTGTGAAGGATGTCTAAATTGTTTTTAACTATTAGAACTAGGGTAGCACAACGCGTTGCTTCTAGATTGTACGCAGTGTCTATTAGGAAGTCGATATCTATCTAGTTGAGGTTGGCAAAGACAAGTAGTCTGCCATGTATTCTGTTGTATATAGATTGATGCTATATATAGTACTACTGCCAGCTTCCTGGATTTCGTGCAGTACGCTGAGAGTTTCATCCAAGTATATTGCATTCGGAAGATTCTATCGCTAATCGATAAGTGAAGATTTTACTACACTGAAGAATAACGAGCTTACAGCTAATAACTAGTTTTCCCCTAATGTCGTATATGAATTCAAATTTGAGCTTGTGTTCTCAGATTATACGATCTATTATCGAGCTACCTCAGATTTAAAATGACCGCGTTCAGTTGTTTTCGAAACAAGCAAACAGTCTACACACGAGCTCCAATGTGCCGTTGCAACGGAGCACGAAGGACATCATACGCTACCTCATTAGCGACTTTGAAATAAAAGCGACGCGAAAGATCGAATGTAATCACTTAAGGCTTGCCATATACTAACCCCTCTGTTTCTATATAGTTATTCTCAAATTGGCAGCCAGCTCACAAGATAAACTCGCAGAGGTATCACAATTGTCTAATGTTCGTATAACCGATGAGTAGTCCAGGGAGCAAATCTTATTTTCCAACTGCGGACTGGCTTTTAAAGCGGGACACAAACGCCAATATAAATTTCCTATGGGAGTAAGAAAACAACCCTCGTATCAAAAAGAGGTCAACAACTGTGTGTGGAAAGGTCTTCTGATACGCCTCAAGCATGCCTGTGGCTTCAAGGATACCTCTAGCCTGTGGCAAACCGTTGAGTGTCGTACCCTCAAAACCCTTCCTGCTGTTGGCTTCAAATATGTTTATTTAACAAATAGCTCGCATAACTACTGTTGTCACAACGACGCTTACAGGCACAGCATGCTTGTAAGTAATTTAGACTGGAGATTTTTTCTCATGGTGATTTTTTATGCAAAGCGACATTAAACACAAGTATTTGTTGAAAGGAAAGATATTCGTACCCTTATATAAGTAGTTTACATTGACGCAGAGCTAAGTGCTAAAGACTCCTAGGATCCTGTGCGCTTTCCTACCTACTAAGCAATCTAGTTCGTGCCTATGTCTAGACGTATTACATGTGTTCATGGAAAATTTGACTATTAATTATATAAACACTGCAAGTTTCCGTATAAGAGAGACGCCCTAGTATCCATGCGCTCATAGATATCTTTTTAAAGGCAGTATCTCACTACGCGTGCGTTGATGCACTGACACTGCCCGCTCCATTAAGTACGACGACTATTCGATTGTATTGCATGGGTACTACGCATGAGGCGGTCAATACAGAGAATGCAATGTACATATTCGTTGACGGGTTACTATCACTAAAACGAGCCGCCTCGTTTCGCAAGGGACGGTTAACTTTAGTCAATCAACGGAAACAGATCTCTTCTTCGAAGTCTCGTGATCAGGCCAAACGTTTGTCCACTTACAAAGTTATAGCAAAAAGGCTATTAGTTTTAACGATTACTTTGTTCTCATTTAAATTAGCCATGGCATATGATAGTGTGCTTCCACAAAACACGATCATGAATCTTGTGCGACCATGAACTCCGGCGTACCATTCTGTCATATACGCAATTGATACCTTTAACTTTTTTCTAGCACGGCGGCAATAGGCAGACATGGGTAGATGTTGCATTTTTTCAAAGGAAAAGAGTGAGCCAGAAGTTTCCTCGATCCCTGTACTAAATGTCATGAATGGCTTGTAGTAGCGCGCACGCAGTAAAGCCACGATCTCTCAAACTAAAATCCAACATATAAGAGAGGTCGCTTTGGTTAATAAACCTTCGACATTGTGCTGATCCGGTCACTTGCCACTCTACAAGTTTCTGTCCATTTGTGCTATAACTCAAAGTTTATCAGCCTATAAATAGATTTTCATCAGCTATTTGTAGGCTATGTTAACAGGGTTTACATAGTGCGGGTTCGGATCGTAGGTCAATACTTCTAGTCAGGAGATGTTTTGATTTGTCTACAAGGAAAGCATGCAACGTCCTTGCCAAATAAACACATTTCAGTAATATGTAGCGTCCTTTGCTATATGGCAGTGATTCGTATATCCGCCGATGACGAATTCATTTTATCTAGCTACAAATCATAAGCCTTCCGCGGACAAGTTTCAACAACACAATACATCCACAATAACGCTTCGCACACATTCAGTTTGTGTGAGTGCTTACCGTACAACAGTCATGGTCATCTAGCATTATTTGATCTGATTCGTCTGCCAATTCTGAGATTTTCTACGCCTACTCATCGGTTTTCTACAATCACCGAGGGTAAAGGCTAACCCACATCATCAGGAGTGTAGTTCCTTCAAAATAAGCATCTTTTTGCCATTTAAGCATTCGCAGTCCCCAAGCTAAGGGGGCGCGCTGAGGAACGAAGCATCCATTCAATAGATTATCTAAACTAGGTATATTAACCGAACATCAGCTCCCGTCTGTAAGCCGCTATAGCTAACCGTGACAGGATTCAATTATACAAAATAAATATAGCCGAACATTCAGTTTAACTGAACCTGCACAAAGCAAGCGGACGCTTAGTCGTTTAGGCTTTCCTTAATTCGTGACTTTTTCTCTGCTCGTATCTACGTGTGAGTAAACATTCCGCGCGGGCGTCCTGGGCTCAAGTACTATATGAAGATATGATAAGTTTATTCAACTTCGTTTGGCAGTTAATTGGCCACCTGAGAACTATAGTTAGTTGGACGCTGTCCTTTTGTTAGCAGTAACGCTTTTCCCACGAAGTGTACTCCACACGCCATATATCAGCAATGAGCTAACCATTTCAAAGGAGTGACTCCTGTAACGTTGTCCTTTCCCCACTCAATGGGAGTCTGGCGCCTTGGTGACATCGCGGCTTCACGAACAGGCAAGCAGACTAACGGGCTGGCGTCGAAACGGATAGTCGGAAACGCAGAGTTCCTTTCGGCCTTTTCCCACCCAAACCCGTGGGCTGGTGTTGGAGCGAAGCCAACAACTCCCTAGAATGGAAATTGAGGCGACCTGTTATTCCCTAGCTAGGGAACTGGCAGGCACAAAGTATTATTGGCTTTACTTGAGTTCTGGCTGCTTTCACCAAAACCCTGTTAGCTGAAGTCTATTAAGTAAATTTCTAAGCAGCTATCATAGAAACAACGTACTTATTGCCTAATCTTCTTGCGATGGCATTGGTTTATTTCGATCTTTGAAATTTTAGCTAACACACCGTCGATAGAAGACAGTGGTTAAATGATTTTCGATATCCGCGTGACGCAGACAGGAGGGTCGATACTTTCCCGTACAAATGATATTTCCGGTACCAAATAGGAGAATCAGAAACGGCACAGTGACAACTTCAGGTCTTTATATGAAGTGGTGCAAATAGTTTCATTTAGGCCACTAGAATTGTTCTCGGCTGTATCACACATTTTCAGCTTCTAACAATCAATTACCAACGCAGTAGTGCCTCAAGCATGTAAACTCGGAAGTCATTGTAAGTGGGCTTGGAACAATAAGAGGGTCACCACTACGGGACCCTGTTGGATTTTACCAACGTGGCCAGCTTTCACATGGTGCAAGAACGTGCTGTTAGTGCAGCTAAATTCGATTTGTTCTGGAATGGATGCCGATTCAAACAAGCTGTCCCGATGGGACCACATTGAACGTGACGAATATAAAGAAGTTCTGCTAGACTTCGGTTAGTATGAGTTATGCAGAAGCAGTGCTCACGCGTCAGAAAACGTCTACGTTCCGTTAGAAGAGCTTGTCGATTTTATTCAATTGTAGTACATTCAGCTAGTGTCCCTTTCCAGGCATTTTCTTGAGTCATAACGAATAGTGCTTAGTGGTACTATGATTGTACAGAAATGCAATATAGCAAATATTAGAACAAAGCCAATGTCAATTGGCGTGTGCTGTGTTTAGTAGCTGAATAAAGCTCAGTTAGTTAAACGAATCAACACGAGAAATTATAATAATTGTTGGCTGTGAAGCTCTTAACAACGGAAGTTTAGAAATGCAAATACTAAGCTTTCTACAATAGGAAAAAACCGTGTTCGCACATTGTGGGCGCTAACGCTTATGTGGCAAGCTTTTGGTCGCTGGCGGGCATGATAATGTCTCGAGACATTGGCTGGAGGACCTCAGCCATTGGCTTTTACAAATAAACATGCATAGCTCCGTTATTTTGTATACCATAAGCGGATAATGTAAAGCAGGATTCATATTATAATTTCTCTTCCTAAAATCATCACGACGCTCCTCCAGTATTGTATTGCCGCTTCCGTTGGACTGATTGAAAATAGAAAATTGCATAGATCAGGTAGACAAAGGCCGCATAAAGATTTTCTCCTAGCAAACATCTCAGCGATCAAAGTTCAGTAATTGTTATTGATAGCGAAACTTTGGAATATGATAATAACAATAATTTAGTTAAAGATGGGAGGTCTACTTGTTGTTGTTTCATGACGTTCAAAAGATAGGGCATTCATTATTGCTGGCGCAAATTTTCGAAAATCTACACACAACCTGGTATTAGCCGTTCGTATTAGATCTGGAATACCTCTTGCTTAAATTACTGCATTACAGATAGAGGATACGTCTACAATAACGCTTACACTTATATATGATTCCTTCTATTTTCAGACAGGTCAAATCTCGAGCCAATAACATCAAGGTTATAATTATATCATATAGATTCTATGTGACGTTGTTCTTAGACGCTGAGGGGACGACTTTTTTGTACTGGTTATTTCTAACGTGTGACCGATTTTCTGCTTTTTCATACAGTGGAAAAAGACATAGGAAGCGCGAAAGGCCGTCGGGCTGTAATACGAAGTCTGTTCATGTTGCTATGGCTGCCGTTATTTGCTTTGACGACATTTGCCTCACTGGCACTATACCAACCGGATGTGTCCCTTTGGATCCTTGACCATCCGACCATTGCAAATGCGTCATTGTAAGTTTCACCTAAGGTAATTCCATCTTTTATAGCAAAGAGATAATTTGGCAATGCCTAGACCACTTAAAATTAGATAAAGAGCGCCTAGAGCTCGATTTAGAGATCTTGGATTACAGAAGCAGGTCTTCTTGACAATAAAGTTGTAACATATCTATCTACTAAGCCTGTTGTGGACACGTGACTTGGTCTAGCTTGAAAATCCCCCAATAGTACCGAAAGGTTGGTGCCCACTAAGTTTCACACTTGAGAGCTACGGTGGACAAACGTGCTTCGATGCGCCAGGCAGTCTATAGGCAAATTTTCCTAACGTTCTTAAGAAAGCTCGAAACCAGGCGTAGGCGTGCTTCATTTCGCGCCGGCAGAGATCAGCCGTCTGCTGACGTATCGTTTACGGACATTAACGGACGTAGAACTCGAACTTTTGTTTAAGTTACACCAGCAAACCGTTCATGTAGTGCAATTGAGTTTTTCGGAATTTGCCTTTCGAAACCGGTTTTAACGTATATCTCGTTATACTTTCGATTTAGCATAGTCATGCCGCTACTACATTTTCTGCTGATTTTTTGTCCGCCCGTCAAGACGTCGACACCACTTACCTTGCTGGTATTGGCCGTATTCATTCTGGATTTCGCCTATGTCGAAGCCGCGCTATCCGTTATTTACGAAACATACTGCGCATTCATGACCAACTGTAAGTCAACGTACATGTGGGTGCCTAAAGAGCTGACGTTGGAAGTTCTTCGAATTGCACGAGCTTGTTTTAGTTTTTACACTTAACAAAACTTCTATCGTTAGCTTTCTAGATAATGCCTAAGGTTGGAAAAATGTGTATACAGTCTGTTGCTCTATCTGCTGCTTTTAATAGTGATAAGAAATTGCGCCTTGATGCCGAAACTGTTCATAGATAAGCACTAGATTTTGTTTTGTCTAAAACTAGCTTACCTTCCGCTTCGATCCATTAACACTGACTTTTTCATTATTGTTTCTGCTATTTAAAGTGATCTGCCTATTGACGTGCACTCAGATCGTCATTCTGTCGATGACTCTGTTGGACCTGACCACGGCACTGGGGGTGCTCATCATTTTCTCAGGCCACATTATTAACTACGTCGTTGTGGCTGCCGCAGTGACAGCGTCTATAGTAGACAAAGCCATTACAGGTGGGGCAGTTCTTTTCTCTGCTATGGTAATGGTTTACAAAGTGCGAATTATCATTGCCGACCTAGCACCGGAACACTTCATCTGAAAAGTAGCTCGGCGATCGGTTAGGTCAGTACTAGCTCGCAATTCACTACGACTGCCGATTCCATTTGATAACGTACAGCGTACGATCGATAACAGACGGGCGAGGCTTACACAAGAATATTTTGTCTAAATATCCTTGTCGATTTTGATACGGTTTATCGCATGCTTCGTTCCAGCACCGCAAACCTGTATCTTGCACACTTAACCACTACCGACGGACCGGTTATTCTCCATATTGTTACGAGCAAATATAATAACCTCAAATGTTGGAAGCAGAGCGTCGATTTTATGTCACAACCCATAATGCAGGTCGTGTTACCATCACCATATTTGATCTTATCCATTTCTTGGACATCGTCTATCTACCTACTCGTTTGATCTGAGACAGAATGGGAAAAACAATTACATTCATCGAAGGTAGATTCCTGCAAAGAAATAGAGCATCAACTGCATAATTAACCTCCTTACACACGTTTGACAACAACAACAACACCACTTCCTACACCCGGGACATGGGCTTCATTATATTCGATGAATTGGAACCTGTAGTCATGTAAGTCAGTAAACACCACTCCAATAGAAGAAGGATACTAAACTTAACATTGCAAGTATTATGATGCCCAGTACTGGGCCGCTGTGAAGCGAAATCCTTTACGATACATCTCAAACGTCCTTTTCGTAGGAACAAGCAATCCAAAGTAGCAGGGTTATTATCATTATTATGTATTTTATTTTAATAGCTTGAACGCGTGCCAAATAGGTGTCTCCCGGACCTGGTTTTTCCAGCGCACTCTGACAAAGTGATCATGCGCAGGAACGGCAATACCTTTACAGGCAGTCTTTCCGCTCTGAACTGGCAGTTCCGATTTTCCATTCGGAATAGCGCAGTACTTAGGAGGAACTCATGTGTGGAAACACCAAATGCTCCCTTTAAGAGTTAGCCACTTCGCTATGTGCCGGGATTCACAGGATCAAAAAGCAGAGCAACTTCCCTTCCGGTCGAGGTTTCGGATGTTGTACAAGACTTGAAAAGCTTTTAGCTTAATAGAAGTCGAGCAGTAAAGTATCTTAAATAATGGATTGTCGTTAAGTTATGCCAGATGAAGGCAGAGTATCACGAGGATTTGTCTTCTTATATCCTAGTGGTCACCACATGAGCCGCGTATATGGTTTACCGAATATCTCTCACAGAAAATTCGTATGTTAATTTTTAATTGTATTGCCGAGTTGTACTGAACCAGGTTGATGACAATATTTCTAAAAAATACGAGGATCGTATCTCGGTATGACCTGGTCGTGAATGTTGTGTTTATCCGATCTCAACCGAAGTTAAAATCGGGAATGTTGGATTGAAGCCTGAACAAAGATAACTGAGAAGGTCGAGTATAGTTTATAAAAACTTTGTAACCTAGTATAAATCAATATTGACAAATTAATTTAGAGAAACAGAACAATATGATCTAACTGCACGATACAGTGTTTCCTAAAAGGCAGTTCTTGCAAAGAAGTGGCTACATAATAAATCTGTCTCTTTGTGAGATTATCGTTTGCGTATTGAACAAATACTAGGAACCTGCAGGCCTATGTTATAAAAAAAAAAAACAGTGATACTCGTATATAAACAGTTGAACGAACGCAATACTCGGACTGTTGAGTTTGTGGTAGAAACCAGACTACGGGCACAGGGCACTGCATGAAATGTCAACTTTTGATCTTATTTATTTATTATTATTTTTATTTATTTGACTGTTTTTTTCTTTCAATATAAAAAAATTCAGAAAAAAAAGTCACAGAGAGTACCGAAAAAGATATTACTAGACTAGGGCTAGGATAGCTTTTGCAGATAAGCTGTGAAGATTTGCATTAACTTGTAACGTGACGAATAATACTTCATCCGTACAGTTTAGTAATGGTTGACGCATCCAAAAAAAAATAACTTTTACTTATAATACGACGCCGTAGTCGTTCTACTGCTTTGAGTTGATCATAGTAGAATTTGCTCAATGGCTAGAGACAATCTTGTGCGATTTTCCTAAGGCAGAAAGATAGGTCGTTAGTATCTTTTATTTAACACACCTTTATTATTGACGTCAGAAGCTGTGCTTCGAAAATCACAAAAATTCTGGATATATTGCATTGTTATCCTCGGTATATATACATGAACTGTGTACTCTTTTGAGAGTTATGAAGAGGTAAAAGTTCGTAAAGGGGCCAGAGCCTTTTGGTGTTTCAAACTACTATTCGAAAGAAAAATGAAGTATGCACAAGGTTCCGATGAATACTATCATTGATTAATGCTATTTAGATTTTATAGTCATCATGAATACACGAGCATCTGTATTTTCCGCTAATAAATGGCTAGAATTTAAAAAAAACTTGATGGTTTAGCTTTTGGACTTTTGAACCATATATACGTGAAGCTCTTTAGGCGTTTGATCATAGAATTAGCTTAGTTAGAACTACAGAGAAGATTAAATCACAGGCGTACACCATCTAGCTCAAAGCTTAAGTTACCTTCTTCTACGTAATAAGCTTCCCACACCAATTTATCAAGGAGTTTTTAGTTAGTTAGGGTCCTAACGTTAGCGAACATAAACAATGATCCCATCGACGGAATACTTAACTTAAAGGTTAGCACAAGGGTGAGTAGCTGGACTTTACCGTATATTTTACGCAAAACAATGCTCAAAATCGCGTATTACTGTGCATCGGTATTTATTCGAGTTGTATAAAGTTTGAAACTATGGGCCACTTATGGATCTAGATGTTCCGAAAATTTACAATGTATCACTAGAAATCAACTAATTCGAATTATAAAAAACGAAAATTCCAAATCGCCGCGTTTTACAGTATCGCCCAAAACTTCATTTATTCCTAATTAACATTAAAGCCGATGGAAAAGTAGCACTTAGAGGTAATCTCCTAATACGAACCTTATTCAATCTATTGTAAAACATGTGTAGTGATTCACGTACTCGTCTGACTTTCCGACAAAAGACTGAAAAACCACCTGATCCGGCCATCTTGGCACGTCTAGTAAACATTAGGTGCCCTGTCGAATACTGACATTTTATTAATTTTATAATAATAATTATTATTATTGTGATTCAAAAAACAGTAACGCTTCTTTTAGTTATCTGTTTGCCTAGTAACACGCTAAGCTTTGTGTCGTTCTAGCTCCTAAATAAATGAGGATTTTGGTTTTCCCTCTGCGACTGCTGTTAAATATTGCTTTGGGCGGCAGCCATTACAATTGCTCCCTGTCAGCGTGGTTGCGCTGTTATAGTCAAAGGCCGAACGACGCGCGTCCACAGAGCATCTCTAAGTAAGGCCAAACAGATAACAACAGCCTGAAGCGACCTTCGTCAGGTACGGGGGTTTGAGGCGGTCCGAGCATTAAGGCATTTCGAGGGTCGATTAGGCTAGCTGGACTGAACTGCGGGGCAAGTCAAAGTTAACGGTTAAAAAAAACTATCTGTTTGTGTGCATAAAGCTTCGTAACTTTATCATACCCAACGATACAAAGTACGACCAGACGCACGCGAGCGAACAGAAATCAGTGAATACACGTAGCATGATTAGAATAGAAATTTACTCGTTATTGCGTATGTTTGTCTGTTTATACGTGCTCACTACTTGAAAGTACTGTATAAAACACCTGAACCAGTCGTTGAACATATGTACCCAGAAAGTGTTCAAATATGATCGTCATAGCGGTGAGACTAACGCTATCTGTAGTAGTACTATATATGCATCCTATGGATGATTTCCCTGTATAGTAGTTATTGTTAAGTCCGTCCGTTACGAAGCGGCTAACGTCGTTCGATGCTGCGTTCGCTTCATGTCCATGGCTATACGAAAATATGTGTAATAGAATAGTAGACAAGATCAGCAGTCGATAATGTCATAGTGTCACCTAAGGCCTGCCCTTAGCATTTCTTATGCTTTCGTTTTTCTGGCGTTATTTTGTTATCAACCGTTTGTAGAATCTGCATATAATATCCTGTCGATATCTAATGGTATATATGACTAGCAGAACGATTACGACCGCGGCTGCCATCAGTCGGAGAAGGCACAGGCGGCAAGGGGTTTGTTTGAGTGCCGTCTTCTTGCTCCCGGGACGACGGTCGCTGCTGCTGCTACCGCGATCGCCGCTGCTGTTTGCAAAGACGCGCCCAGTACGTCTTTGCCTGACGATTTTCGGTCCGCTTATGGCAATACCGCCATTTCACTCCTGTTTTTCCTTGCTATGCCTCGACCCGTCTTTTCAGCGAATCGCGTTTTTGTCCTTTGATCTAACGCCACAAAATTGTCAGTCTTTCATTACGTTACGTTCATTTCGTTAAGTTACGATCTTGTCATTATGGCTTGTGTAGCTATTTTCTGGAAGTTTTGCCGATTTAAAATGTGCTTTAATAGGCTTATTTTTTAGGTTAAACATGCTGACCTTCTTAGAAGGCAATTACCTGTATTTGTTTCGGTCACCGTGCAAGGCAGATTTTAGGTCTGAAAGTTCAAAATTGTATTGAAGGACCGTAATAAAGCAGTTTACGTTAGTCACTCGTTCATTCGCCTTCTATCGAGTATTTTTTTATGAAACAGAAAGAGATTTGCAAACCTCTTAGGCCATAGTTCTCATGTTTTCATTGGAAAAAAGTTTCTTCACCTTAAATGGAATATAGGTCACATATAATATGATATATTCCTTCTTAACTTGAGCCTTAGGGAAAATATGATAGGACGTTCAATTGAGAAAAGTGAGTACTTGAATCATCATCATTCATCTTAGAAAGCGCTCTAATCACGGAAGGCAAAAGTTTAACGAATGGCGATGCAGTACCGGTACCGATTCATGATATACACCTTATTTATACGTTTGATGTAATATCTTTCCGTGAGATACCTCGTGTCCACCTTACCATGCGTTTCCAACTATTTTTTTATTATATATTATATTTTTTATATATTTTATATATTATATATTATATTTTTTGCTGAATTGAATGGAATAACACATGCATATGTACACATTTTTTGGATTTCCTGTACATCTACTTTTTGTCTGAGAAGAACATTTTTTGCCGACGAATTACACTAAACAAAGTAGACTATAATGTTCATGCAGGTTAATTTACAAAATTACCTAAGAAATTTACACAAGATATTTGTTATACTACACGTAAATCTAAGAAAGGTAAAACTAATGATTTCATAACTTGTTAGTATTGACCATTTTTTTCGTGTCAAATCTCCACTTTATCCTAGTTTATGTCAACATTGGTAATAAAAGCTTTACTTAATCCTAAGAAAACAAGCGACAGACATTCAACTTTGTTGGACGATTATTTACGACGTTCAGAAAAACTCATTGGCGTAAGTCTAGCGAATCGTCCGTTCGATGTCGCACGAAAATCGTCAGTATCGTCCTTCACATTGCACACCGTCATCTGCGGGCTTAGGACACGAAAGGTCCGTTCTTGTGACAGCTACGCATCTATCTCGGACCTTCCCTGACGGTTCGACAAGGCCTGGGTATTTTCCGAATTTCCTTTCAGTCCAGAAAACGGCATAATCACACATCGACAGATCGAGCTAAGCGCACCATTTCGCTTCCCGCTCCTCCAAACGAACGTAGCGTTCGGTGCCGCCCAAGCCCTTCGTTAAGTATTAGGCGCCAACTTGTCTAGCAGCCTCTCTCGCCCCCGAGGAGCAGAGATGAACTCGTTGTTCAGGGAGTGTAAGGACCTCGACGAGCCCACCGACCTACGCAGTCACGCCTAATCCAGAGGTGCGCGGATCTAACGCAATGTATACTGCGTAAACGGTTCTGAAATAGCGGCGAAAAGCTCGATGGCCTTACGTTAGAACAGGATATAGGTTTGACCGGTGGAGTTTCGTCCAAAACGATCATCTAAGAGGTTAAGATCGAACTCGCGCATCCCCCAAGTCGACTTCTGGGCGAGCAAAGCAAGCATCGTTGGTCTGGCAAATCGCTATCCACCGCAGATTCCCCACCAAACGGAGAGACCAAAACGTTTTCTTTTCGAGCGTGAAACTGAAACGACAAAGTCAGTATACGTTCGGCATTATGCGCGGTGCGTTATATTGTCATTCCTTAGATGCTGGCAAACTTTCCTTCTTTGCTATACATGACACTAATGACAATAACTATATGTAGCTATCTGGGGCCTACCTGCAATCTAAATTTAATCTTAATAATTGTCTCTTTTGTACAATAATTGTGATTGTATTGGTACTTGCAAATACTATTTAGTAAAAGGTCGAGGTCCAGTTGTTCCAGGTTAACTAGACGAAGTGAAAAAATCAAGTTAGTTAGCAAGTTGTAAACTTACGCACAAATACAGGTAACTTTTTTTTTTAATTTTTATTTAAAGAAAAAAATTAGACTTTGGCCTTAATTATTGTTAACTTGTTGTCGAACCAATATATGAACTTCAACATCACGAGGCTTAATTCGCATGATACCTTTTGATCTTAATACCCGGGAGCAAAATAATTAATTAGCAAGGATAAAAAAATTCGTCCTAATATTAACGTAATTGAGTATAAAGTAAAGCGTAGTAAATTTTTTAAGTTACGTCCATTACTACGCCTCTGTCACGGTGTAAGCAGGAGACCAGTTTAGTTTTAGTAATTATATACAATATGTATCTTATTGCCTGGGTATATTTGTCCATTAATCTAGTTTAGTATTCAATCAGTGTAAAAAATTCTGTTCGAAACGTAACACAGATTTTTACTTGCAGCCCTCTCTGCAAGTATTTGCACATAAATGCTAGAATATATAAGAAGTTGAGAGCCTTCATCAATCAATGCGGACTGCCTGGGTATTACACCTAAGACATCATTTATACGAATGAACTTGAATTAAGGAGTAGCAAATTTACCCCAAAAAAAACCGAGATCTTCGATCATAAGCTACTTTTTCGTTCTGTAACCTACTTATGGTTGAACTATATAGCTCTTGTGCTCATATGTGATAGAAGCGTGCACGATCAGCTAATCCTTCATCTCTCGGACCAGTTCCATGACGCTCCTATGCGTCGAATACATGATCTGACGCCCTTGTCGGAAAAAATCTCTTGCCACGTTAGTAATTCTAGAATTTTCCTTTCTTTATGGCGTAATACCAAACCGAAAAAAATAGCTTAGTATAGGGATTACAATTGGGCAAATTCTAGAGTCTGTGTTCACGGCTTTGATCCCTGCTTGTACTCCAGCAGACATTCTCCAATCACCCAAATGGTCTTGAAACACAATAGGTAGAACACAATAGGTATTCTAGGCCCTGAAGCAAACAATCCGTGGATTAGGACCATTGCGATTTTACCCGATTTTCTCGCGTGCGATTTCTTAACTAGTGATTAAAATCCCAGCCAACGAAATTGTTACGTTGCAAACTCTGCAATCGGAGTCTTCTTGATAGACAGCTCTTACTGACACTGCGATGTTTTTGATTTTAAGCGCAAAGATAATTAAGTAAAAAACAGTAATGAACTAATTATTTGCTAGAAAACCGACATCAGATATTGAGAAGAAATCTAACATTCGCTAACAATGTTACTCTAGTATA